GGGAGATTTTCACTGAATTTTAAATGGTGCATTAATAGAGATGGAGGCCAACAAGGATCAGCGCTAGAACATTATCAAGACTGAGTGTTTAAGCAGTTATGTCACGGCGAGTCAATAGTATTATGTTCGGTTTATTAGTCTAGTATCTAGATAGATTCATCAGTATAGACGTAGTCGTGAAACCAACACTGATATTTTATTTCTCAGATTCACTACAGTTTTCTGAATTAATTTTTACTTTACTCAACTCTCCGTTGCACTATTTCATTGATTCATGTTGGCATTCTCTACTGATTCAAAGGATCCTGTGATGCGATTTTTTCCCAAGCACAAGATCCTTGGAGCTGAGCATGCAACAAATACGAGAGCTCACATCAAATAACGAACACTCGGAAATGGATGGAAAACGGTGAACGTGAGAACACTTGTTTATGATGCAATGACGTGACGAGTGAGCATGGTTACCAAACGTAACCTCTTCATCTTTGTACGAAATATTTGATTGTATGCCCAGCCCAAATGTGCTCTTCGAAGGTTATCACAAACGTTGCTGACCTTCATGATGGAACGAGTCAGTATGGATAACGGTGTGAATCCAACCTAGGTTCTTTATGACTAGATGGTCATAAAATGGCAGGTCCATAGCTTTAGATCAGGTCTATTATTCTAGCTGCATGGATAAGTGAACTTATATCATCCTAAAACTTCATATTACAAATAGAATGTTTCCCACAAATTTTTTCGAAGGGAAACCTAATGGCTTTTTAAGAATTTATAGCAAAACCTTCTTGGTTCGTACCTCGAAATCTCCAGAAGTCGTCCACCATTTACTAAGTGACCGTTTTCAATACACTCGAAATTTTACAGCTTTTAAAGACAGAGGAAAATAGCCATTTTCTCTGTGTTCCTTGAATAGAGAGACAAAAGGATTCTAGCTACAAAGCTTCTAACATTCAAATATATCGGAAAGTTTGTCGGGTGTTCACGAGCTATTGGGTGGGATAGTTTCAGAAAATGAATGTCCTGCAGTAGAGGCTGTCTACCATAGACTGGGCTTAGAAGAATGCATATTCGTGCACTATTTCTGGACTTTCCCAGGTCATTAGATACGTCTGTACCTCTGGCTAACTTCTAGCAAGTGGAATTTACGGGATCATTTATGACTCAGCCAAGACTACCTACAGAACCAAGAATTTCACACCAAATTTAGTCGAGCGTGACTAAGGCGAATTCTTGCCTCTAGCTTTAAAGAGAAACTTACTGAGACTTCCATTACTGGCAACACTCATAGTTGATGCAAAGCTTCCCGGAAAACGGATATAAAGTTCTTAAAAAAGTACTAACGCGTGCTAAAACGTGGGTCATAGAACTGAGGGACAAAACACTTAAGGAACGACCTTGCTAATGTGGATTTCTGTGGTCAATTTATAGGAGATTTTGAAACGACCTAACAGTGGTGCATAACATTCTGAATTTTCCTATTTGTCCCAACAGAGACGTCCTGTAGTGACTATGGGCTCTAACCACACAATCATCAAAGCTGAACACGAGACAACTTGGAAAATAAATATCCAAAATTTAAGGCGGAGAAAAACCCAACGATGTAGAAGTTGTGGACAATGAATTGAAGGAATTCGAATTAATCATCATGGCTCAACCTCGCACGCATGGTCACCCCGTACAACTCGCTGTTGCATCAAATACTTTGCTCTATCTCCAACCTGAACTTGTTCTCCAGTATACATTGGTATTTGTTACGATACGATGAGTCAGTGTAGACAAAGGTGTGACTTCCACGTAAAATACTATAGACTAGGCAGCTACATCAAGACAAATCTGCAATTTTAGGATTGGGTCTCTTATAAAAGCAGTACTAATATCGTAGTAGACCATAACTCTACAGTCCTACGCAAACCACTTGACCACTGAGAAGCACACGTTTTTCACTAGTGGCTGATCCAGCCTAAAATTTCCCAAACTCGATTTTTTCTTCAACTGTCTGTAGTGTGGCGTCGAATCACGGTTGACCATGATCACCACTATAAGAAGGTTGCGTACCAGATATCAGAAGGCGATTGGAGGTTGTAGCGACATGTATTTGTTAGCCATCTCGTGGTATCGAAAGGATACCAAGGTTGTGCCAAAAGAGTACAAGCGGAATCACTGAGAAAACGTAAGCGCTTGCAAGGTCACAATCAACGGAAAGAAGAATGCCTGTAGTACAGTCAAACAAACAAGTACAGTAAAACAATCACTGGTACAACTGGTGGTAATAATAAGTGTTTCCATTAAACCAATCGCGTTCACTTGATAAAAGTAGGTCACTACATATCTTACACGTATCCTAGTCAATTCTAATTCTAAAATCGTTAGGAAGCGATTTCCCGCAGGCGCGACTCTAAACTAATTCCTAGACTTTCGAACACAGTGTCTTGACTTGGCGAAAGTCATGACAAGTAAAATATCTGGCTTGGTAAAGTCTATCTGTTTTCGAACCGTAACTCAACAGCGTGAATATACGAAGAACAATCAAAACGGTCTAGTAAAAGTGGTTGTTATAGGCGAATAGACTAAACGTGGCCGCACAAAGTCGAAGAGACTTAAGGTGATAGTGAGGGTCCAACGCTGTAACTGATGTGCTCACCCATCGGTGTCACACTTTAGAGCAGTCTCAGTAAGAACATAGTCACCCACTGCTTAGCAACTTCAAGTTGGAATAGTTGGAATTGATGTAACCCTCGTACTTTAAACCAGTCTTAATGTTGTCCTTATTACCACCATTACCGTTGATATAAGCCCATCTCTGTTTATCTTATTCTTTGTCACCTTATCCATTACTACTTTTGTCTGCTCATAATGCTATGCATTATGCAAGCTTGCATTCTAATTGTCAACGTCTCTCCTCTTCATTCCTATTTTATAGATTATTATAGTGCAATCAACCAATCCCCTCCCAAAAACTGTGATAATTGCTTAATCTAGCAATTCAAACCCTGTAGAATGAATGCATTTATTTATAACCAGAAAATAATTATTCCCAATTAGTTGTCAATTCTACAAAGACTGGCACGACCAATAGATAAAATAACAACACCGTGAAATACTAAAGACTTGAAGACTTACAATAATGCCTAGAATTTAAATTAAAAAATGAATACTAGCTCATCAAAAACGTATTGGATAGGCTCTTGATTGGATATTAAGTATGAATTGTGCGCTACTGTAATGTGGCTCGTTTATGGATATCATTTCATCTAGTGCTTCAAGTTATTTCTTTCCACTTCAAGTTACTGAAAATTATCCTCAGAAAATGTCTTAAAATCACACTTCAACCTACTTTTGCCAAAATAGTTTTGACATTCACCAACTTTCCAAAGTTTTCGATATGAATCAGACGATTGAATAGTATGTAAGGTTTGAGTCACGGTTTTCAGGAGTAATAACGGTAATAATCACATCTGCGTTGTAGTAATAAGGATACAAGGTCAGTGTTAATACTCGACATGTACGACTATCCTTGATTGAATTCTCGAAAAGAAACATATGTAAGCAGTTTATGATGGGTTTATTGGATATATGTGGCGATTAAAAATGTTCACTGTATCCAACAAAGTGCTACTTCATACCGGCTGTTTTTTGCGGCTACTTCTCATTGCACCAGATCCAAATATGAATGTGAATATATGTACAAAAAATTTCCGTCACACACAAAAACGTCAAAGAACGGACAACTCAAACACATCCACATTATCATTGAGGATCGTAACTTTCATCGGTATACTGATAAATCCTATAGGATTCTGAAATAAAGTGACAATCAGCGGTTGTGGTGGTGTTTTTTACTACTTTTTAGAAATATGTGGTTTACTGGTATATGCGCGTACAATAGATCGATAATGCTCAAGACTTACTACTGGGCACATAAATGGCTTGATGAAAAAATCTGCGAGATCATCACTAATGGAATATGGGCCGAATATTTTACATGGGAGGAAACAAACCACCTTGATTGCTAAAACAAAAATAAATGGTATTTCATTTTCAAACGATTTCGGTTTGAATGTCACCTACATTTGATTGTGATTATTTGTCAACTACGTATATATATTCTTGTACATCCTACAGTTTGGTTTGCCCAATCTACATCCATTATTTTTCGATAAATTTATTTATCGCTTTTCATTTGATCCTGACACCCTAAATTACTTTCTGTTTTCAGATACCCCAGATGACTTAATTTCCATGATCAGTCTTACGCCTTCCTATCGGGTTTTTTAGAATAGAAAAGATTAAAAGAAAACTCATCGGCAGTTTGAACGAGTTTTTCTAGAGGTAATTACTAGGATTAAATATTTTAGGTAATTTGCTAAGTGTCATCTGTTTTATTTACTTACTCATCAATTTATAGTACAATTTGAGACCAAAAAATGGCGTTCACCATATAATTAAAAAGGTACTATTGTATATAGGGGGGAAATGAAGTGCAGTTAAAAGTATAACCAGAAAAATTCAGTTAATAGAACTACCCCTTCTGTAACGAATATAAAGAAGGACTACAGCGGGATTGCCATTGACTTATTTTGAGCCATGTCGGACAGTGTTCAGAACCTCAACCAGTGAGTTGTGATAAACCAATAGCTATCAGTCTTAGATGGCTTTATCTCTTACCATGAAGCTGTGTTATAAACAGGCTAATTCTCTGCTTTTTCCACCTAGCCCCATCACCGGTAAATAATGCGCGACGTGGGAATCTCTGGTGTGACACTCGTAGTGTACTTCTAAGCCACCGAAGCGAGTGTTTCAAGATATTGACACAAATTGAATTACCATCGTTGTGCACTAACAAGATAACTATGTTAGTTTTAATTAACAGGAAGCATTATTTCCCCTTCATAAATCAAGTTTTCCTCACAGTTTTGTATATTCATTTACTGCTAGTTAGGAATTTTAAACTGTTTATATTTTCTCGTAGCTTGTCGGATTTGCATTGAAAATATAACATGGTGGATGCGGAATTCAAACGAAAACTAAATGAAATTCGTGAGAAAGTAGAAGATCTTTTCGATTTTGAAGGATGTAAAGTTGGTCGTGGAACATATGGAAGTGTTTATAAAGCTAAACTTAAAGATGGTACAGACAGTAGAGATTATGCGTTAAAACAAATCGAAGGCACTGGCTTATCTATGTCTGCGTGCCGAGAAATAGCTGTAAGTTCAATTATAATACAATGACAAATATTTTGTATATATCATGTTTTAGCTTCTTCGTGAGTTAAAGCATCCAAATGTTATTACTCTACAACGAGTTTTTCTGAATCATACAACTAGGCGAGTATGGTTGCTATTCGACTTTGCAGAACATGATCTTTGGCATATTATAAAATTTCATAGAACAACTAAAGCAAATAAAAGTACAGTTCAAGTCTATGGCAATATGGTCAAAAGTTTAATGTATCAAATATTAAATGGAATCCATTATTTACATGACAATTGGATTTTACATCGTGATTTGGTACGTTCTAATGATAATTTCGTCTGTTTTTTTTCAAGTCTAAAGAAATATTCGGCATCCCAAAGACATTTTGTGGATGCACTTTCTTCCCAGTGGAACCGTAAAGAGTTTGGCTCCCCATCATCAGAGGGTTTGTCATTTCACACTGCACTACCAATAAGACATAGCCGTTGGTAGTAAACTGTAAATGTAGAACACAGGTGCTCTACTGTGATTGTCTCTGTTGTATTGCTCACCTGTTGTGAAATTACCCGGCTGTAAGAAGTGAGATTAATCGGTCGTTGGACTTGTGAACTTGAGTGAGCGTAAGTGGTGGTTGGGTTGGATTTACTGCTGTTAGTGGTGGTTTTCATTTTTTGTAGGGATGATTTAATTAACGGGATGTTAAGTAGAGTGCAAATCAATTAGTGATGTGAAATGATATGGTGAGGCTTGGTAATGGCTGCTCATGAGACTGTATCTGCTAACTTATTAAAAGCAACTGCGCTTAGAAAGACCGAACAATGTAACATGAGATTCAATTTCATAATTTGCCAAATAATGTTTTGTATAAAATTTTGTGGAATATTTTCGTCGAGCTGCTGATTTCATTTGTTTGGATATTAAATCTTCAACCTGTAGTGTGCGCTACTTATGTAGACAGATATGAGTAGTATGTAGAAGGATTTGGGAGTGGAATGCTTACCTGCAGAAAACTGAGATAAAGAGAAAATGGAAACAATGGGCAATCGGAATAACAACAGGATTAAAAGAATGGTGGGACATGTAAAGGACAACTCAAGCAAGATGTGCAGATGATGTATTTAATATATGATTTTCATACTTTAAGAAGTACTGTGTAATTTTGCATTCAACAATAAATTCGTTTTCTCAAATGAGTTTTCGTTCATTACTTTTGGTGTCACTGCCTACGGAAAGGCGGAGAAAGGGTAGTTCTGAGGACGCCGTTGTGGGGCCGTGAGTGGAGTCGTTAGTTGATGCGGTCAGGCCCAGGAAGCAGACATCAAGTGGAATGGCCTAGTGAGGCGGCGTTGGGTGTAGCATTCTCTACCAACGGCGAGAGGACGTGGGACGTCTTGGGTGCCGGGCTGATATTAGAGGTAGATAGCCGGGAGACCATCGCGCCGGCGGACTCGACACTTCGACGAGGAACGAAGAACAGACTGCGATAAAGAGGAAAGCGGCACGGAGAGCAGAACGACTGCAAGAGCGACCGTTTAAAGGGGGGGGGTCGGGTGTGGTTTACGTTACCTACGCTGATAGATATAAGAAGTTTATGGTAGCAATCAGAAGTAGGATACATGTCAGCATAAAATTGAATCGAAGAGAATAGGTGGGGAAACAGAGAAATAGAAACAACAACAATTAGAGGAAGTATGTAAGGGATAACTGAAGAAAGATGTGCAAATAATGTATTTAGTGTATGGTTTTCATATTTCACAAAGGCACTGTGTAATTTTGCATAAAACAATGAATTGGTCTTCGTTCACTGCAAACCTATCAGTTATTGGTTAGAAAGTTATTCAAATTAAAGATTTTTGAATATTATTACTTTTAAGTGGTATGGTAATCAGATTCTCAAAAGAACTAATGGGCACAGATAGACGTTTGTGGTTGACCATTTTAAGATCCAAGATCTGATGGAAGACAGTGGAATTCGCCTGCGTCATTGCGACTGATTCTGAGGCATATCACAGGACGTCTCTAATCATTAGTTACGACAGTCATGTGGACACTAACCGGGCATTTCGCACTTGCTAACGCATTTCCATCTAACATTCACTCACTTAATAGACTGATGTTACGTTTTGGTTTTGCCACTTCAAGCTTTATTTCAATATACTCCCATACAAACGGACATTGTTCGTCGAGCTAGGCGATCGCTAGACTTACGTAGTACATATCTCAACCACCTCACCCGATGAAGATTCATAACTTGCAATCTTTACCTACTATTCCTTCAGTATTGTTCATTCCGTGGCCCTAACATACGCGAGTAATATTTCGAAACGATCTTTCTTCAGGTACACGTAACCTATGAATATCATATGTTTCTAAAGATCACGTTTCACATCTACATATTACAACGGAACGAAACGCTGCTCAGTATACTTGTCCTTCAATTGACTGACGGACATCTCGCCTACTCCCCAGGAGAACTGAACCCATCATGGCTAGTGAGAATTCAAAAATAAGCTTTACCAATACCCTCCTTATCATCAGTTCAAGCACTAATAGAGAGCACCACTAAAACAAAATTTTGTATTTAGGGGAAGTGTAATGCATCTTAAACAGTCTTTAATTTTTGCTTAAGATGATCGAAGGACTTTTTTCTGCGTCTCCACTAAGTAGGGCTGTCATTTATGTATTTTAAGTCGGTAAGTTAATCTTCTGTTAAGGAGATCAGTCCTTGAAAAGTCTGGGAACAGAAGCGTTATCTCTAAAATACTGTCTATGGCAAAGTTAAGTAAAGTGAGGAAAGCGGATAACTCTGACAGTTTATCATTTCATTGACAGTTGATCTGAGCTATATTGTTGGATGCATCTTACTTCGTGTGAGTTCGCATGATAACTACTACCAGTAGCTAGACACGGGTTATATGGCTCAGAGCCTTTCTAATTATCGTCAGTACATTCACTCTTTATCTTCCTCTCAGTCTTGAATTTCAGTACTCTTTCGTAATTGTTTTTCCAATCTCTTTGCGAACCATATTCCCAAGGTTTAATTTCTCTTTTTTATTATTTCTACTACATTATTTAGATTTGTTTTGTTGTTTCCGCCTCGTGCTGATTCGGTATGGCAACTTAGACTAACCCACATTTGAGCCACTTTGATGTCTGTTTAACATTCCTACTTTTGTTACTTGCTTAATAATATAATTATCTTTTTAATTTTTGTCTAGAAACCTGCAAACATCTTAGTTATGGGTGAAGGTCCTGATCGAGGTCGAGTTAAAATAGGTGATTTAGGTTTTGCTCGTCTATTTTATCAACCACTGAAGCCATTAGCTGATTTGGATCCAGTTGTTGTAACATTTTGGTATCGCGCACCAGAATTGCTGCTTGGAGCTAGACATTATACGAAAGCTATTGATATATGGGCTATTGGATGTATTTTTGCAGAATTACTCACATATGAACCTATATTTCATTGTCGTCAAGAAGATATTAAAACAAGCACACCATATCACAAAGAACAGCTGGAACGTATTTTTCGTGTAATGGGATATCCACCAGGTATGTAAGTTATTATTTGGTGAAACATTAATGATCAAGTGATATGCCACAGCCTAGTACGACCTCTGAAATGAAAACTTCTGATTTGACGATTCTGTGTTTTTGAAAATTTTTGAGATGTAATTTTTCACCAAGAACTGACTTCAGTCGAACAATAACTTAAAGCCAGAGTACACTGATTATTGGTTTTGTGAAGCTGTAGCTTATTGTTCAAAACACTCTCTGTCGTGCTTGAGGATGTACACGGCTATGTAGTCTCATAATAGAACGAAGAAGTTACTCCGTTTTTCCTAGTTTTCAATGACACCACGAATAAAACCACTTTGTGATGAATAGTGTCTATTAATTATTTATTTCCCGGAGAGAGCAATCCATTGTTATTATTTCTGCTGTTACAATAGGAATCACTTTAATGTATAATCAAAGTGTCTGCTTCTTTGTTACTTTTATTTCTGATCAATTCAGATGATGCTTGGGTTGATATGAAAAAAATGCCAGACTATCATCAATTATTACGTGATTCCATAAGTAAAAAAACCTATGGTAAATATTCACTGGAAGGTTATTTTGAAGAGAAAAAATTCAAAGTGGATGAAAGAGAATTAGCTTTGGTAAGTTATTTTACAATTTTATTGATTTTAGCCTTATTTGATGTGTATTATTATTATTATTATTTGGATTGGTGATCCAGCTATCTTGATCTCTTTTCATTCGAATCTAGCAAACACGTGTGAAAGCAACTTCCCATCGCAGATTTACTTGTTCTTTCGAAGTAAAAATGTGTATTTCACGGCGTATCACCTGGAAGGGAATCCGGTTATTGGATGTTGAGAACTTTCTTCAACCCATTTTTCATTCGTTTAACCACAATAAGATGATATCATATGATTTCCCGACCGTTGTTACTACCTTGACGTGGTGGTCGGGTTTGCCTATCGTGATGAAGCAACCGAGCTATACTGGTTGGAACAACTGTTCTTCAAGGTCCCACCATGTCAGATAGGTCGGTTGAAGAGCGGTAAGACTAAAAGCAACAAACCCAAGGTCTGAAGGCGAAGTCGTACTGCTGACTGTGCAGAGGTGTGACAGCAGTAAGGTGTTTCCTTCAGACAACCAGTATGACAGCGATGCTGCCTTCCCACAAGGAGGGGTGGGGTTAGAAAAGGTCGACCCTAACAATTCACATCTCGCCTTATCCCACGGATATCCGTCTCCGGCGGTAAGGTCTCAACAAGTACGGAGCTAACACAAAAATTACCCATAAAAAGGTCGCGTGTGACCGACCTAGAGCAGTTGTCCCCTGGGCACTGAGGTCACGCTCTCAGGTCACTAAGACCACCTCTAATCCAATTTCCTTTTCAGGCACCTCCAGAAGAACCCTTCCACGGTGTGGGCAACCGGGAAGTGATAACCGCCCTCATACCTCTAACAGCACTCAAGATCACTGTATTCATAATCAAGCTCCTTCTTCAATTCCTATTATTCCTCCTACATCAACTTCAAAATCTAAACTTCTTTTTTCGGCTTCCCCCTCAAGTGTCACCATAGCCAACAATTCTAGTGCTCAAAACGCTGTCCCAGGTCTACTGAAACCTTGCTCCAAACTACACATTGGAGCCTTCAATGTACGCACCCTATGTCAAATCCGTTAGCAGGCTTCTTTGGCTAGAACCCTAGAATCTCGTATCATTGATGTATGCTGTGTTTCCGAAACACGCATACAGGATCTCAGTGTGGTCATTCACTTGACCTCACCTCTGCGAAACGGAGAGCCAACGAGATACACCCTCCGTGTATCTGGGGACCCGATGGCCAGTTCTCGTGGACTGGCAGGTGTAGGCATAGCACTAAGCATGAGGGCGGAACAAGCACTGTTAGAGTGGATCCCCGTCAACAGTCGTCTATGTGCTGTTCGGCTAAATGGCTCCGTAAGAACTCGGAAGGATAGGGACACACGTAGTTGCCTTTTTGTCGTTTCTGCCTACGCTTTCACCGACTGCAGCTCAGATAAAATGAAAGATGAATTTTACAGAAAGCTATCTGAACTTCTTCAGAAAGCTAAACGTTCAGACATAGTACTCGTAGCAGGTGACTTTAATGCCCAGATAGGTAGTTTAAACCAAACAGAAAGGCATTTAAGTGGGTATTTTAGTATACCGGCACAACGAACAGATAATGGTGATCGTCTGCTGCAACTATGCTCAGACAATCGTTTATTTTTAGCAAACACAAATTTTAAGCATAAGGAAAGACATCGTCTAACATGGCGACCCCCTACACCAAACCAACGATGGACTCAAATAGACCATATTGCCATCAGTCATCGTTGGAGAGGGTTGGTAGAAGATTGTCGCTCATTCTGGAGTACCTGCTTGGACTCCGACCATGCCCTAATACGGGCACGCATCTACTTGCGCCTCACTGGACGCAAAAAAGCCACATTAAAAAGACCCGTTAGAACTGAGTTGAGTAACGAGAAAACCAAAAGTAGGTTCCAGGAACAACTGAGGTCACACTTAGGTAGTTCTGAAAACGAGGCTGACCCAGATGCTGCTTGGAAAGATATACAAACAGCTGTGGAAACAGCAATGAAATCTATTAGTGACTTAAACCAAAGAGTTACAAAGAACCAGTGGATTTCCTCAAGGTCTATTGCACTGATGGATTCTCGTAAACTCATCCCATCAGGCTCTGAACACGATAAAGAGCGAAAACAAATCAGATCTAGGTTAAGAAAAAGTCTAAGAAACGACCGTGAGCAGTGGTGGGCAATGAAAGCAAAAGAGATGGAAAAGGCGGCGGCTATAGGGAACACAAGACAGCTCTACAGACTAATAAAAGAAACTGGAATTAATAAATCAAGTGTAAGTCAGACTATTTCGGAAAAAGACGACACCCTCATCTGCTCTCAGTCCAGGTGCTTAAAACAATGTGCGGAACATTTCAGAGCACAGTTCAGCTGGCCTCCAGCTACCCTACAACTACCCTCCATTCCCAGACAGTGTGAATGGAACATTGAAGTAGATCCCCCAACTCTAGCAGAAGTTGAAAAGGCTATAGTTAATCTGAATCGAGGAAGGGCAGCTAGTCCAGACGGATTGACTCCAGAGGTCTTTAAGGATGGTGGTTCAATTTTAGCGATTAGGTTGACTGATATCTTAAATAAGATTTGGGATTTAGACGTTATCCCATTTGACTGGTCACAATCACTTATCGTCCCAATATATAAGAGAGGGTTAAAATCATCCTGTGACAACCATAGATGGATTAGTTTGACTAATATAGTATCTAAAATACTAGCCTCGATAATTATCAGACGCTTAACTAAGACTCGTGAACTGCAAACACGAGAGAATCAAGCTGGCTTCAGACCTGGTCGTGGATGCATCGACCACATATTGACCATTCGTCAGGTTCTAGAACATAGGCATACTTATCGGCGTCCGACAATGGTGATCTTTCTCGACTTAAAGGCAGCATTTGACTCGGTAGACCGCGAAATTCTGTGGCAGTATCTATCATTGAAAGGCGTACCTCAGAAGTACATAAACCTTGTGAAGGCTCTTTACGCGAACTGTCATCTGCTTTTGCAACCTCAAGTGGTGTCCGTCAGGGCTGACCACTTTCTCCATTTTTGTTTAACTTCATCATAGATCTACTGATGGAAATAACACTCTCGTCCACTGAATTCTCGGGTGTTAATCTCCTTCCAGGAGGTCCACTTACCGACTTAGAATACGCAGATGATATAGTCCTGTTTGGTGAAGACGCTGATAGAATGCAGAGTCTTTTAGTAGCACTGAACAACAATGCCAGAATGTTTGCAATGCGCTTCTCTCCCTCTAAATGCAAGTTGTTGCTTCAGGACTGGCCTGCGTCAACACCTGAACTAAGGATAGAGAGTGAAGTAGTCGAACGCGTCGACAACTTCACTTATCTTGGAAGTCTGATCAGACCTAATGGGTTGGTGTCTGACGAAATCTCAGCACGGATTTGAAAAGCTCGCTTGGCTTTTGCCAACTTACGTCACCTATGGCGAAGGCAAGATATCCGTCTATCAATAAAAGGACGAGTATACTGCGCGGCAGTCCGTTCTGTTTTAATTTACGGCAGCGAAACATGGCCATTAAGAGTAGAAGACACTCGTAAGCTACTAGTATTTGACCACAGATGCCTCAGAAATATTGCTGGGATCACCGGGTAAGTAATAGTGAGGTTCGACGCAGGGTATTAGGTAATGATGGTAAATCAGTTGGTGAGGTTATTAATCTTCATCGACTGAGATGGTTAGGCCACGTGTTACGTATGCCTGAACACCGATTACCATGACGTGCAATGCTAACCGGTTGTGGAGATGGCTGGAAGAGAATTAGGGGCGGCCAAACCAAAACGTGGCATCAGTGCTTGAAGTCACTAACTTCTAGTCTGAGCCATGTTGGTAGATGCAGATTACCTGGTTGGGGTCCGCGTGACTGTCGTAACCAATGGTTGGAGACTCTTGATGACATGACTCAGAATCGACCACAATGGCGTCGGTGTATTCACTTACTGTCTTCCCTTAAACTAAAAGATTAAAATCGCTTCATATCTTTCTTTCTACGAACTAATTCTTTCTTCCTATACTATATCCTTATTGCAATCTTTCTTTTATATATTACCACCTCTGAATTAATTACTTTTATGAATCCGGTGTCCATCTTGTTGTGTTAATGAGGTATGGCAACTTGGACCGATGCATAAATGTGCCTGGTCCCACGTTCTAGCTGACTGACTGATTTTATGACATACATAGCTTCAATTCACTCGTCATTCTGGTTCACTTGCTATTAGTGGTTATTCAGGCATGTACTAAGTCCCCTTAGAAAAATTTGGACATTTCCACTACTTTTAGAGTATTAAATACATTCTATACTTTGTACGTGCATATTGTCCTTTATCCTACAATTGACACTTGGCCCATATTCACTACCAGAATACTAGCATTTACCAAACAGAATTGTAAGACCGATTTACTTACGGTTCTGAATTTAAGGTAGGTTTTTGACATTGCTCTATCACAACCTATTCATCTATTTAGTTCAGTGAACTTCCTTCACCATGGTACTTATCTGTAGCCACGTATGTTTTCTGCCAAACATAACGATGCACAGGCGGTGTTTCGTTGGTTCATTCTATACAGTTAAAATAATCACATTCAAGACTGATACAGTTTCCTTCGTCAAAATTTCCCTCAGTAATAAGTAACTGTAAAATAGAAACTACTTCTGGAAAAAGTTTTTGTGCTGATTTTCAGTGACTTAGACTTGCCGCTTTAAGACGTGATTTTAGATAAATAAGATTGCTATCCATTGCTTAAGCAATTAGCGTACAGAAAACCTTAGTATATGATTTGATTAGTTCCTTACTGTCTACGTATATTAATTTATATTGTAGATGGGCTTTACAGACGAGCATCAACCAGCATAATATTTCAGTCAGTCACAACGTAAACCCTGGTACATATATACTGCAGTTCAAATTGCCATACCCTGTTATCACAGAAAAATGAAATTGTCAGTCCAAATCCCAGACTGGTAGATTTAGTCTAAAGATTCTTTCTGATCACTTCTGAATACAGAACATTAAATACTTTTACCATGAAAACTAATATTTTGTAAGTAAAAATCAAACGTAAATAATTTTTCTAGACACTATTGGTAACATTTCTAAGATGTTTACCATAGGTTTCTAAACATTACCCCCAACTCAAATAAGTTCATTGTCTGTATCAATAAAGTCTACTGAATAGCTGTACTTTCACTGTGAAAAAAAAAAGAAATGAAAGGGATAATGATACATCTTAATTTTGACATGACATCAGGAAATCTTTAATAATTTAATAGTTAAATTCATGAGTTAATCTAAGCTAAGCCACCATTAAAAACCTGGAAGCACTGGACGGCCCTTTTATCCTAGTGTGGGACTCCTGAGCAGTGCGTATCCACGATCCCACACGTGGGACTCAAACCTAGGACTTTCGATCTCACACGCGAACGCTTAACCTTTAGACTACTGACCAGGCATCAATGGTGGTCTAGCCTAAATCGACTCATAGATTCAACTATTAAATTACTATGATTCCCACCAACCGTCATTCTGATACAAATCTGTAATAATTTTTTGATCATATTTACATTCTCTAAGCTCAGACGTTTGTTAACTATGGATCCCGTTAAACGTTTATCTGCTGCTGAGGCTATGGAAGATTCTTACTTCAAAGAAGGTGAAAAACCAAATAATGAGTAAGTGCGTTTTTTTTCTTTGCAATAAATTGTTATTCTACAGTTAAAGTTTACATACTTTGAGTCCCCAAATGCTCTGGTACAGCCGATGGTGGGAAGAGTCAGCTCTCCCTCTCGAAATGCTCTCGCATGACCACATGCATACAACCACTGTCAGAGAAGTTCTACTCACTGCCCTCTCGCAGCGGGGGTGTTGTTTACGAAATTGAGGGGACGAAAAGCGAATGTCCGGCACTTTAACCAAGTCAGTGGATATGGAGAATCCACCGAAGGGAGTTGGGAGACCTTGATTCCAATCAATTGTACAAATGGGCTCCAGGATCCTGGGAGAACAAATAGCGTATGAACCATTTATTGATCACCTGCTACCATGGGACTGCATCTCCTGACATTGCTCCACTGCCTTATAGATCAGACCTTTAGATTGAAGGCTCCGGGGGTGGCTTCCTAAGAAAATCACTTGTTTCGGTTTGGGCACCCGGGCAGTATCACAGCCCACACACACACAAATATGGTGTGGCGCATATATATTTACTGCTCGCTTGTACCAATATTTATGTGTTCGAATAAATAATAAATAAACAAATAATTGTAAGTATATGGTTGTGCAGGTTATTATCGTATTAGAAACCAACTTTTGAACAATGAACTCTGCTCAAATAGATTACTTAATATCAAAATAAATAGATATACTGATCGAATTATGGATAGTAACTAAGGTTTTATTGGTTGACCTGAGTCTGTTATCAGGTTTATAAATTACTTAACTTCCTAGAGAGTTATACTCATTTAAATTGTTTTTTTCTATTCACTATCGAGCTATTCACTCCAATCGTATGACACTTTAAAAATATACTTCAGTAATCAATTTATCTATATTTTAAGAACATGTCAATTTTGTCTAAATATTAACTGGTACGAAGTTGCGGAGATTGTGGTATCTTCACTGTTGAAATCACGAACTGAGAAATCTTGGAGACACTGGACGGTTGTTCCAGGTCATAGATACACCCTGTTGAGAAATCCCATTTTAAAACGAAACGACCCGCCAGTACTTCCAGATTTTCAATGATGGTCTCACTAAGATCAGTTCGTAATTTCAACTGTGTAGACGTTAATTATTGAGATAAGAGATTCATGATTTTTCAAAAGGAAGTTAAATTGTTAAGTGGTTGGAAGTAGTTGTGGGGAGATCCTGTTCAATCTAGGTTTTATTCTAGTTAGTAATTGTCAGTAAGGCCTACCTGAAATCTCAAAGGAACTGATTTTCCTCGTAGGATTCAAGTACGCGACAGGTTAACCTGTAATGAGGTCTACGCTTAAATTTAATATTAATTTGTTAGGGGTGCTCTGCCTGTTTATTAATTTAGAGAGATTTTCGTTCAGTTGGTTTAAATACATTTTCCCGATTTCTATTCACTAACTTCCAATGTATTTTTCAGTTAGTCAGTAACAACATATAACTTCGTACGTACGTACATCAGTTCAAGTTGCCATACCATACTAGTACAGAGATGCAGTTATCGATTCAAATCCTGTACTGGTAGAGGTAGTAAAATTATGAGCAGTAATCGGAAACACTAGGGTTTGAAGATGTTATTTAAAGAGTATAATACAGTGAAATAAATTTGGAAAGAAAATAAGGGACATGAAGAATTCAGAAGATTAGAAGTTGGGCGAACACAAAGAGTGGATCACCTGCACCATTGCAAACGATTTTGAGCCATGTCATTCAGGGTCTCTAACCATCGGTTGCTATCATCTCGTGGTCCCCAACCAGGTAGTCTACACCTACCAACGTGGCTCAGTCCACTTGTCAGTGACTTCATGGACTTGTGTCATGTTTTGGTCTGGTCGCCCCTAACTTCCTTCCAACCTACTCCTACACAATGAAATATCACACGTCGGGGCAGTCGGTGGTTGGGCATACGTAATATATGTTCCAGTCATCTCAACTGATGAAGTTTCACTACTTCATCAATCGATTTGCCATCCTTACCTAGTACCCGTTTCCTAACAACTGCGTTACTTATCTGGTGGTCCCAGGATATACTAGCAGTGTTTCGAAGACACCTATGATCAAATATCAGTAACCTACGAATATCCTCTACTCTTGCCGGCCATGTTTCACTGCCATAAAGTAGGACAGAACGAACTGCTGCGCAGTAAACACGTCCTTTGGTTGATAGGGGAATATCTCGCCTACGCCATAAATGACTCAAGCTGGTAAAAGCTAGTCGAGCCTTTTGTATCCGTGCTGAGATTTCGTCACACGCCAGACCACAAGGGCTGATGAGACTTCCCGGATAAGTAAAGCGGTCGACACGCTCAACTACTTCACTCCCTATCATTAGTTCGAGTGTCGATGCAACCCAGTCCTGAAGCAACAACTTGCATTTCGAGGGGGAGAATCGCATCCCGAACATGCCTGCATTGTTGCTTAGAGTGGTCAGAAGACTGCATTTTGTCATCGGCATATTCTAGATCAAAAAGTGAATCTCTCGGTAGAAGTTCAACTCCTGAAAATTCAGATGAGGAAAGTGTTATCTCTAAAAGCACGTCAATGACAAAGTTAAACGAGAATGTAGAGAGTGAACAGCTCTGACTAACACCACTTGAGGTAATCAATTCTGATGACAGTTCACCATAAGCTCTCACTCGACCAATTGTGTTCGAGTATTTTATTTGAGAGTATGAAGTTAGCTATTTGATTCACAGTAATATTTCACTACTATTTGGTTTGGTCTAAATTGCTGAGTTGATAAGACTTTGTCATTAGTAATAATTGAATTTATATATAACTGTATCAACTTCGATATAAACCTTAGTCTCTTCCAATCAATCTTAACAAGATTCATCTTTCGTAGTACCTGTAACTAAAAGACAACAGAGGGTTTTGTACATAGTCTAGTATGTTGTTGCTAAATATCCTACCTTATTCTGTAATTGCATCACATATATTTTTTTCTAGGTAATTATCATAACAAGTTCGTGTATTATCATTTTAGTTCAATTTGAATTGGTTTAAATTATCCCGTTGTTGATATTTTTAACTGAAATCCGTTCATTCTTGGTTGGGATATGGACATCTTGTGTAGATTGTCTCGATATGGTCATTATAACATAAATTGATGTAGAATAGATAGAATCTAGCTAGAAGTGGAATCCTAAACTCGTGTTTCGTCCGATTTGGGACTCGTCAGCTGGACGCAACTACGTCTCAGAGTTGGTGTCCACTCTGGGACTCGAACCCAGTACCGTTCGCTCAAAACACCATCGCGTTATCCACTTATCTACTGGGTTCAGATAGCCATTCACTTGTGGAACGAGCAGGAATTTTAGCCGAATTCGTAATGGTTCGAATTGTCTGGCTGTTAATACTTTGATGAGTCTTAGTTGGCATGTAGGCATCCTGTTCTTGAAGTAAACGCCAACTCGGGCGCGTGTACATCCATCTGACGAGTCCCTAGTAAGACGAAACGCGCATCCTAGATTTGACTGCTAGCTATATTCCATACATTTTATAATCTCATTTCAGTTTGTTATTGATTTGTTTTTATCAAATATTATAGTGTTTTTGGAAATTTACCTATACCTTATCCTAAAAGAGAATTTATCTCTGATGATGATTCTGATGATAAACAAACTGGTGCAGATAAAAACGTCACACAAACTGGACAACAACCAAACGCTACTGGAGGAAGACAAACTACAGCACATCCTACTGGTGGCAGTGGAATACATACTACACATCCTCAGCAACAATCTCAACAACAACAACAACAGCGTGGAAATAATGCTCCACAACCCCAGTTACCATTGCCTCAGCAACAACAGAGAACAAATGGACAGCCACCGCCACTGAATACACAGCAACAACACATGAACTCTGGTCAATCTAATCCCCATACAAGACAATTGATTCATCAACAGGTCAGTATCGGTTGACATATGTTGTTTTCTTTTTGCTTATTTCTTATCATGTAAAAATCTACTGTATAACGGTTAATAATTGAAGATCAATTAAAATCATTTTAGACCACAATTTAAAACCTGTAAGCACTGGGTGACCGTTTCGTCATAGTATGAGAATCCCCAGCGGGAATCAAACCCAGAATCTTCTGTCTCGAACGTGAATGCTTAACCACTGGGCCACTAAGCCGGCATCAAACGGTGTTAATGTTTAGCTTCGATCAATCCATGATAGTGCGACCATCTTCCATTATCTCCAGTGCGTAACTGCCTAACTTAGATAGGCTCACGATTTCAATTGGAATTCGACAATCTCCATAACTCCATACTGAAAAATAAGATCAATTAAATTCATCATTCTTTATTTCGTTCGATACATAACTATGATCAGGTAATGCCTTGGTTTTAGTGGTACACATGTCACCCCTTGTATTTGAAGGTGTTGTAGTTTCTACGCTGTTTTTATTTGGTTAAGCTATAAGAATTTTTTCACAATTGTGAATAAATTCTAGTAGCTCATTTTTAATTAAGGTACGTACTGATGATGTCTTTCAAAGAGTAGGACAATAAAACTTTCACAACCAAAACCATCTATCAACTCAGAGATCACAATGCCCTCTAACTCCTTTCGTCTTGAACTTGTGACGACGGACCACCGGTGAACTCGAGGAAGCTGTAAGAGGCTCAGAAGGAGCCGAAGACGTCCCGTCCAATCACCTTTCGGAAGAATGTTCTAGAATTTCAACGTGTAGCTTCCCGATTGGATAATGCTAATAACCCCTTGTATGCGGATTGAAAGACTGTAATGATGATTTCGTTCTCACTAAAAACTATAAATACCTGACAATTTTGTACTATGATTGACACTGTTTGGAATAATATTCCTTTCGTTAGTCTTCTGTCTTCTTATTGCGACTTGGAAGGGTTTTGGTGTTCTAGTGCTCTGTTATACGCGGTAGTATCAAGAAAAATCAACTTTTCAAGATATAACAGAACTACAAATGTTCTCTATCTTCTCTTGTATTGTTTTAACATTTTAGTCACTTTAACAGTAGACAATCTTTGAATGAAGTACATTAAACGGAGCATATGCTAATGATTTCTTTCAAAATAATAATTGTATATTTTTAGTGAAGATAATTGTACGCACAGATGGATAGTGGCTAGTTGTGGAGTCTAGGACGCGCGTTTCGTCCTATTTGGGACTCGTCAGCTGGATGTACTTGCGTCTCAGGGTTGATGCTCACTCCGGAACTCGAACTCAGTACCGTTCGCTTCAAACGCCATCGCGTTATCCACTTAGCTACTGAGTCCTGATAGCCACTTGCTTGGGAAGATTCAAGTAAACAATACCAAGTGAATTTAAACTTCACCCCATTCCCTGCCCCACACTCGTCCTTTTTAAACAGTCGTTGTTGCGGTTGTTCTGCTCACCGCACCGCTTTCTTTACTACAGTCTATACCGCGTTCGTCGTAAAAATGTCGAGTCTGTGGCGCTGACCTTCGTAGTTCCGTTGACCGGCCGGATCATCAAAATCTAATGTCTACCCAGCAGCCATACGTCCCATTGCTCCTCTCTGTCGACAGCAACTGCTATAGCCAGCACTGCCAGGTATTCCACATCTGATTGATATGATACAATACTTATGTCGAAATAAGTAGTATACACCACAGTCCTAGTATTGTAGTGAACGGAGACTTGGGCAAGGGATTACACAGTGTCTTCGTAAAATATGAAAACGATCCATTAAACACAATATTTGCACGTTTTCCTTGAGTTGTACTTGACGAACTATATCATTCTTCCTTTCACATTTTTATTTCGGTTGTTTTCTGTTTTTCTTTCTCTTCTCTTCATTTTCCTCTTCTGTCGGTAAGAATTCTACTTCCACTTCCTGATACATACTACTTATATCTGTCCGTATAAGTAGCACGCTCTGCAATATGAGACTCATCGGCTTTACACACTTACGACGCTTCACGGGATCGAACCCTAAACTTTCAGACCTCTTGGCGTTCGCGATACTTTTAAGCCTCAGATTTAGAAACCACGAACTATTCAATTAAACTGTAATCGTGTGCTAATTCGTGACCAGCTTCAAAGTCCCAATAAGTATTCACGTTTGGTAAATTTCAACCATGTCGAAACCAAAACAGTTATCATCAGTTGGATTGGGTAATAGTCGTACTATACTACTCAGTTACAGCTATATCGAAAAAGTTAAACTAAGATTTAAATTTCAAGTCAATTGGTTGAAAGCATAATGCGGGATCATGGGTGCGCACTACTGTGGAGTCCCGTAACAGGACGAAACGGCCGTCCAGTGCTTCGAGGTTTCCAACGGTGGTCTAACATCAATCCATTCATGATCTCAACCAAAAACTTAATAATCTCCACAACCGCTATTCTGATACTAATCTATCGTTCAACTTCATATACATCATGAAATATAGTTAATTAGCCTAAGTTATTTTGTGCATATATATATATATATATATATATGAATTCAATAAACTTGTTTTCACTATAAATGTATATTCCCTTGTAGAATAATAATGATGATATTCCATCTAATAAGCGTATTCGGTTATCCCAGGGGAATAATGAAACACCGATTGCACCACCGCCATTACCATCCTCCTCGACAACATCATCATCTACAACAGTTAATAGTAGTGGAATCTTACATACAAACACAAATAAACCCAGTATAACAGGACAGTCTCAGCAGTTATCTAATCCCGCTACTACTACTACCACTTCAGGTTATGCGAATCTGGTAATTTGTGGTTGTTCGTTTTGAATGTTTTCTTATCTAACTATTTAAATATATGTATGCTTTCTATGTAAATAAATCTAGGCTTTTGCGATCGACTGTTAGTCATATCATGAATCTATCGAAGGTCTTTATCAGAAATCCTACACCTATTTGCAATGCCCGAGCAAGGGATATTATTTTGTAAAGCAAATTTCAGAGAATGCACTCATTTGTGGGTGCTACATGACATTGATGGATATTCACTCTCGTGTTTAAAATTTCTTATATTAAAGTTTACTAAGTCGATATCACTGACCCATTTTTTTCACAGCACATACAATTATACAGAGACAATATTATCGAATACATGAGGTTTATTTATCTAATCATCAATGTGTTGTTCATTGTTTGTTGATCCATAGTATAAATAGCTTAAAGCTAAGTTCTCCAGCAATTCCTTTATATTGATCTCGGAGAACTGTCCCTGAACATTTTCATAAAGCCTGTACATGTGTTATTCTATATCACTTAGGGCTGTTTTTTTCTATTTCAGCAACAACAACCAATGAGAAATCTCCCACCTGGTCATATGGGGCATCCGGGAACTTCTTATCCACGCTATCACCACTAGCAATCACAATTCTTCGTGGATTACTTTTTTGTATATATTAATATTTTCTCAACATTTTCATAGTTCTGTGGCCAATGTTTTTGTTTTTCGACACATTTTTGTACAATGATTGTAGTAAAAATATACAGGTGTCCCAGTATTGTGATAAATTTAGAGGACAGGGAAGGAAAGCGTGGAACGTGAACCAGCTAGTCATGAGTCCGTTATCTGCTTATTTAGCTAATCACGCCACCTAGTTATCGAGATTCTAAACTCTAAATTAGTAAGATATTGGACTGTTTACCAATTATGACTAAAATTTACACGTAATTCTAATTATTATCCCGTTTCACATAAACGTTAGATCCATGAACCAAATTTGCTTTAATCAACATCGCACTTGTAACTGTAGACTTGTAGTGACCTCATCTTACGTATCCCCCAGGATGAAATCGATATGAAAACAAGTTTAATTTCATTCCCAGGGACATCCAACTAATGGCATTGAATCTAATTTTTCATCGAGCAACGAATGTTTTGTTGGTCGAAAAAATTATGAGTTACTGGTACTTAGTTATCACGATTCCAAATGTGCGAATATAGCTGAGTAATGCATAAAACTTCCACTAGGATCAAATGTAAAATAATTCAGAGCAATCTTGCAGTTAGTCTTATGTTATCAGTGAGCTTATTTTGTCTGAATGATTGTATTTGATATCTATTCAGAATTACATTGCGTTGATGAGGGACAATAAGAGATCAATGTGAAACTTGGGTATCTAATCTTCGTTGAGTTTGTATGGTTCTTAAAATGACTACCTGCTAAGAACAGTTGTATTGTGACACTAATTGTCCCGAAATTTTCTGTGATTCATAAATGACAGTTCTCTTACCTTGTTCTTAAAAATGTCACAGTTATGTGCTGAAAACTTATTATTTGTGATTGTGCACGTATTATATTTTAGTCATATTATCAAGTGAGTCCTAAGTTTGAACATATTAAAAAATAATTAGGATTACTTATCTTAATCTCCGGTGTTGACTGTAGGTTTATAGATGTGGGATCTTGCATGATCTACTGACCACATGACGAAATTAACGATGCGAATAAGACCAAAACACTAATACAAATAAATTAAGTATGCTATCAAATGAAATACACTGACTCTTCGTGGTTAACTAGGAATTTATGTGACACTTGTTTTTAGTTATTTTTTTACGAAGCTTTACAAACAGTCATTACAAATTTTATAGTAATTTTTTACAGTAACTAATATACGGTATGCATAAATACAGATAGCTTAAGCAGACGTCATCTCTTTATATTTATGATGTTTTAAAATGTACCGGAATAGGAGTGACAAACTTCAAAAACTATCGTATAGTTTCAGTGCAGTACGAATTAAGAACTTTTCTTCGTGTACATAAATATAAGCAACAGTAAGTTGCCCTACAAAAGGAATGTACTGATGCATATCAGGTATGTTTAAGAAGCAGCTGACTGTTCATACTACTAGAGATCAGCATATTCTACGATTCAATAAAGTCAACGGATTATCCTAAACAAAGCACCCTATTTATAGAATGAAGTAAAATGTATCCATAAAATTTAATGACGATATTCACTGAAAATACTATTCACGCTTCGATTGAAAATCAAACAATTCATATTATTATTATTACTTACTACGTCACTTATTCCCTCTCTTTTACTCCCACTTTGTGTATCTTTTTTCCAACTTATACAGCAGCTCGCCTATGGTGGGAACTGTTCTATCTAAACGATCTCGAGTCACTGATTGGTTGAAAATTGAATGCTGAAACCACGTGCACCATTCAAACTGACTTTCTTCAACGTTCGCACACTAATGCAGATCGGATAACAGATAGGGCTGTCTATACCTTTAGAAAGTCTTAATATAGACGTTTGTTGTCTATCCGAGACCCGTATTCAAGACTCTGGTGAAGTACTACAAATTCGCTCTCCATCAATCGCTTCAAAAGGTTTGCTTTACGTGCGTTTATCCGGGGACCTTGTGGCATCTTCGTCTGGTCTTGTTGGCGTTGGTGTCGACTGGCCTGCTGCTCCGGCAACACCGGTTGAACTGTCCTGCCCTCCATGGCCAGTGACGACTGATCCACCAAATGAGGCGGAAGTCCGCAAGGAACTCCAACTCTCGAAACTCTACAAGTCACCGGGCCCAGATGACTTACCACCGGCTCTTTTTAAAAATGCTGGTGACTTTCTGACTAAGGAACTGACGACGTTGTTTACAAAGGTGTGGGTGCTAGAGAGTGTACCAACATCATGGAATGAGTCGATAGTTGTCCCTATCTTTAAAAAGGGTTCACGTCGTTCCTGTAACAACTATCGGGGGATAAGTCTACTTCCATTGCGTCCAAGCTATTGGCTTCCGTCATATTTCGTAGGTTGTTCAAAACCCGAGAAAGATTGACTCGCGAGGAGCAGGCTGGGTTTCGTTCTGGTCAAGGATGTATTGATCATATCTTCACCCTCCGCCAAATGTTAGAACATCGCCATACTTATCAAAGGCCAACAATCGTAGTGTTTCTTGACATCACGGCTGCCTTCGATTCGTTGGATAGGACTGTTCTTTGGGATTGTCTATTGAGGAAGGGTGTGCCTGAAAACTTCCTTAAGATCTTAAAGGCCTTATATACAAACACCTCGGCTAGAGTGAGGGCATACAACCACCTTTCTCCATTTTTCCATTCAGGCAGTGGGGTTAGATAGGGTTGCCCAATCTCATCATTCCTCTTCAACTTTACCATCGATGACATTCTGGAAACAGCTCTGATGAATGTAAGTAATGGTGGTGTGGATCTGTTGCCTGGAGAAAGACTTCTCGACCTTGAGTATGCTGATGATATTGTCTTACTGTGCAATAATGCCCAAGGCATGCAATCCGCACTTAATCAGTTGGCAATCAGTGTCCGTAGGTATGGTATGTGCTTTGCACCTTCGAAGTGCAAAGTACTTCTACAAGACTGGCAGGATTCCAATCCTGTACTCACCCTGGATGGCGAGCAGATAGACGTAGTCGAGAAGTTCGTGTATCTAGGTAGCTGCATAAGTGCTGGTGGTAGTGTGAGTGATGAGATCAATGCACGTATAGTGAAAGCCAGAGCGGCTTATGCCAATCTGGGCCACCTTTGGCGACTTCGTGATGTTAGTCTGGCTGTAAAGGGTCGGATCTACAACGCGTCAGTGAGAGCAGTTCTGGTCTATGCTTTTGAAACCTGGTTTCCGAGTTGAGGATGTTAGACGACTCTCTGTGTTCGATCATCGCTGTCTCCGAAGGATTGCTGACATTCAGTGGCAACACCATGTCAGTAATGCAGAGTTTCGGCATCGTGTGTTCAGGCGCAGAGACGATAATTCAATTGGTGTCACCATCTTGAAACATCGACTTCGGTGGCTTGGACATGTTCTCCGAATGTCGTCCCAGAGAATTCCACGTCGTGCATTATTTGCCGACGCTGGGACTGGTTGGTAAAAGCGGAGATGGTCAGTGTATGACATGGTGTCGTGAAAGAAAGTATCAAAGTGCCGGTTTTTGTTGATCCTTCACGACTCCCTGTCTGGGGTCCGAGAGATGGTGCAACACAGTGGTTAGAGACGTTATCAGATATGGCTCAGAATAAAAGCCAGTGGCGATCCTGCTATAACCTCTTACTTTCTTCATAACAAGTGGTTGTAACTCCCTTAACTGAAGGAATTCTTTCTGATTGTACCTTTCCGTTTCCCCCATTATTATTACACTACCATACACTAATCTGTGGTTGTTATTCTTTTTCTTATGCACACCTTACCTTCTTTTTCTCTTTACATTCTGGTGCCCCCTTGTACCAATATTTATGTGTTTAAATAAATAAATATCCATACTATTAACTACGATCCCTACTACACAAGATTCGATCGCCAAATAACATGAATATTAAATCGACGGGTTCCAGTTTGTGATGTATCGATAATTCCACTTCATCTCAACAATGACAACGGCAGAAAGAAGCAAGAATACTCTTGTAAACATGGTACTTAAAAGAAAAGAACTTTGATGGGCAAACAATCTAAAACTGAACGCACTTAATAAACATAAAATTTATTTTATTTATTTATTTAAGCACATAAACATTGATATAAGGAGGCACCAAAAATATATGCGCCACATAAATCACTTGAATGCTGGGATACTGCCCGGGTGCCCAAACCGAAACAGGTGGTTTCCTTAGAGAGCCACACCCGGGGCCTTTGACCTAAAGGTTTGGTTCACAAGACAGTGGAGCAAAGTCAGGAAATGCAGTCCCGTGGTAGCCGGTGACCAACATGTTCATACACCATTTGTCCTCTTAGAGTACTGGAGCCCATGTACACCATTGATTTGAAATCAGGGTTTTCCAACTCCCCTAGGTGGGTCCTCCATACCCACCAACTCGGTTAAAGCACCGGACAGTCGCTCTTACTCCTCTCACGTGCCCATGCGAGAGCATTTCGAGGGAGAGAAATGACTTCCCATTCTCGTCCGTACCAGGGCATTGCATCATACACATAAAAATAAGTCTGTTTGAGTGATTGACTAGCCGAGCTGCTTCTAAAAAAACAAAATGATACTTGATTTGATCATCCGAAATTGAGGATTAATTCAGCCAAACTTATTATCATAGTAAAATAGCATGACGACTGACCAACTGTTGTTTGATGTTCAGGATTCAAGATGATAAAGTGTACTCTAGCCATTCGAACAATAGTTAGATAGAATCATGAAGCGCAACAGTAACCACCTTCACGGACATTCTGAAGACGAAAACCAAAATATTTTTGAAAGTCCTGGAGTCGATAAAACTGTCTAAATACAAATATATACTATCTTATAGATTATCACTAACTGATAGATTTTTCGGTTGCATTATTAACAAGTGAGACTCACAAGAACGAATACATCATTATAAGGTATTTCTATGAGTTTTTTCGTTCTAAAATCCCGGACGAAGTAAATATT